TCTCTCTCTCTCTCTCTCTCTCTCTCTCTCTCTCTCTCTCTCTCTCTCTCTCTCTCTCTCTCTCTCTTTCTTTCTCTCTCTCTCTCTCTCCCGTACCTTAATCTCAACCTGATATGTTAAGAAAAAAAAATACTGATTATATACTCAACATAACCATATACATATACATATATGTGATTGTGTCTACGGATACATATACTAAAAATATACTACATATATACACAACATATACAATATATAAACATCACATTACACATATACTAAAAATATACTATCTATATACACAACATATACAATATATAAACAACACATATACAGTCTTAAAAACAACTACAGAGTTTCAGCCCCATATACTGTAAGTATATCATTCGTGCACATATACATAACATAATCGTGTTATATACAGTCCGTTCCTTGCCCTTTTAACCTCAATCGTCCTCTTTCTCTCTCCCCTCGTGACACGATCAATGGCTCAAGACCACACCCCACCACTCTCTGCCCTTAGCTGTCTCCATCTCGCCCAACTCGAGTCGTTGCACGCTGGTTGTAATAATACAGATTTTCTCGCTGGTGCCCGACATATCAAGTTCCAACCGCCCTTGGATGAAGCCCACTGTCCGGTGACCTCCGCCACTCACGATCCGGAAGGGACTGCCGCCGGCTTTCATGCTTCTGTAGAAAAAAAAAAAGAATCATAGAAAGAAGGAAGATGAAGAAGATGAGGAAAGAGAAAAAGATGTGGAGTTTTAACGACATAAAAAGTGGAAACGTTTTTTTATCAAAAATTAATTCCATAAATAAAATACAATTGCATTTAAGCCATCATTCTGGTATTTATGCAAATAATTATGTTGGTTTTAGTTATTTTGCTAAAATTTATATATAAGTAGTATAAATGTAATAAAAATGTTATTATGTGGTGCAACAAGTAATTTTCTCAAATTTTTAAAGTTCATGCAAAATTATTGAAATAAAGACATTCTTTATCCCTTGTGAAAAACTCTTTACATCAATGCTTCCGTCTAGTATTAATACAAAATGACCTATTTAGTTTTCAATTTTACTCTATCTAATATCCTATTGATTTTTTTATTTTTTTTAACCGTCTCACTTAACCGTCCATTTTCTCTCTTATTTTCTTCTCTCTCTTTTTTTTTACCCCACAATTTCTCTCCCTGCTGTTTCTTATTCTTTCCTTCTTCATTCTTCTTCTTATTTCCTTGCACAACAATAGTTCTCCATTTTTGTTTTCTCTCTTCTTTTTTTATTCTTCTTCTAAATTCAGGCAATACACTCTTTTAAAAAAAAAATATTATTCTTTTTTTAGTTATTATTGTTCTTCCCAACAATAAAATTAGGGTTTTTGTAGATCTATTATATCTCTTTCTCACGAATTTAAGGTTGAAATTCAAAAAATCAAAGCATCTTTTACTACTAAGGTTGGATGCGCACCCGACTAAGGTTTGCCCCATGTGTGTTATCTTTTTTTTTTGTGTGTGTGTACAATGGTTTTCTACTTTTATTATAAAAAAGTTTAATCGAAAATTTCAATTAAAAAATGATGATTTATATATACATGTGTTTATATAATTAAAGGAGTTGTGTGTTCATATTTTATTGTAAATATAAAGTTACTTTTATGTTATTTGACATATGTTATAATGTTGTTTTTATGTTACTTTTATGTAGATTTTTGTTTTCATGTTGCGTGTCATATGTCTTATTGCTGTCTTCTTATTATTTTGTTGTTTTCGTAATATATATCACTAATCTTTAAAGTCATAATAATAAACATTTTGGTGTTTTTTAGTTAATTTAATTTAATTGTTATGTATGTTTATAACCAATTATCAATTTTTTTACTTATAATAACAAATATTTTGGTGTTTTTCAGTTAATTTAATTTAATTGTTATATATGTATATAACGAATTATCAATTTTTTACATATTTTATATTTTTTTGTTTTTTTTTAGGTATTCATGTTTGGAAGAGAAGAAGAAAAACAAATATTTGGAGAAGAAGAACATGAAAAGAGAAGGGGAAGAAGAAAAGAGAAAGAAGAAAAGAATTTACCGAAAAGATAATGAAGAGAGATAAAGAATAAATATAAAGAAAATAAATAATGATTTTTAATTAGGTGGTTTTGTTTATTTATTTGAGGTAGTTATATATTTCCTGCTTTGAAAGCGATTGGAGTATATTTGAAAATCCATGTGACTAGTATATTTAATGGAATCTTTGTGTTTATAAGAGTCAGTTATGTCTTTTCCCCAAAATTATTTCTTTTGTTTATTTTAAGTTTTATTTATAAGCCCAAGTCCAAACTGGGCCTGGTTGGCCCATCTAATTTATTTTGTTTGCCAGCCCATGATGAGCTTCTTCTACCTCGCTCACTCTGTCCATATCAGTTATAATCCCCAAATCTCGACGATCACATTTTCTCCTCTCGACGAGCCCTAATTTACCCTTTTCATCTTCGTTTAGTTCTTATCATTTTCTCCTCTCATGGATTCTTTGCTGGCCAATTACGCCTCCTCAGACGACGACGACAACCAACCTTCGCCGCGGGTGCCGTCGGAAAAACCAGTGAGATCGGATTCCATAGCCGGAGAAGAGAGAGGTGAAGAAAGTTCTCCAAAATCCACCGCAACACGCGGTGGGATCTTCAACTCTCTCCCGCCGCCCAAATCTTCCCTCTTCAATTCACTCCTCCCGCCCAAATCGAAGCCCTTCACTAACCCTAAGCCCCAAATCGAATCGGAGCATCAGAGAGAAGTTAACGGCCGCGAGGAGCAAAATGCGGGCAGTTCGAATCCCAAACCTTCATCCGCTTCTCTGTTCTCTTCGTTACCTCGGCCCAAATCGTCTTCATCGTCGTCATCGTCTTCTACTGCGAAAAGGGTTGTTCAGTTTAGGCCTCCCACAATTGTGAACCCGAAAAAAGATGAAGATGACGATTCTGATGAGGATGAACAGGAAAGACAGAGGAAGAAAGCGAAAGAGACGATATCGACAGCTTCTGCAACCTCATTCTTGTCTAGTATTCCAGCACCCAAGCACTCGGCTACTCTGGGCAGCTTGCCTTCGGCATTGGGTAGGAGATCAATGCTGGAAACAGATACTCGAGCCTCCATTGCAACTACTGGAAGTGATTCAGTAGTTGGTCCCGTTAAGCCTAGTGAGGTGAGTCATGGCTATTCTGGTTTGAATTCTGAGAGTGGATATTACGGTGAGAATGCTGCGGATGGTAATTTTGATTTGGCCCCTGAAAGCGGGATTAGCATGGGAAGTGATGCTGGTATGAATGACATTAATGCGGTTAACGACTATTCTACTAGTTCAGGTGGTGAAAGCTCTGCATATCATGGTTATTATGGGATTGGCCCATCAGAAAATGAAGGGTCCTATGGAGTTTCTGATTACCCGTACGGAAATGGGGATTACACGGCTTATGCTGGTGGTTATGGGGATTATGGTAATAATGCACAGTATGAAAATAACTGGAACAACATGACAAGTTTGCCTGAGCCTGAGGTGTCAGGAGCTGTTGAACCTTCTTTTCCGGTTCCTGGCAAGAGGGGCCGGAAAGATGTTCCACCTCAGATAATCGAGGTTAAGCAGGATGAGTTGATAAAAAACCGACCAAGGGAGGATCAAGTCAAAATGACTGGGGTTGCGTTCGGCCCTGCATATCAGGTAACTGTCATATGTTCATGTGCTCGTCTGTAGTTATCCTTACAGGGTTTGTAGTTTTTTTCACTTTCAAAATAAACATATTGTGTAATGGTTACACAATTAGATCTTACTGCTGGACTCTGGTTTTAGTAGAGTTTGTACCTTGTCCTTTTCTGATGCATGATATAAGGTACACATGCGATTAGATTGTGTGCCGAACCTACCACGCACATCGTGTGCAGGCTCTGAGTATTGAAATTATGCGTGCCTTGATGAACTTTAGGATTTTCGAAGAATAGACTTTGTATTTAGCAAGTTGGACCTAAGTTTTCTGTAGGATTTCTAAGTTGGCAATGTGTATAAGTTACCACTCGGCGGCAGCTTACTGAACACAATTAAAGAAAGTATGAATTGGTCAAAGCTAGTATCTTGATCATTATTCTTTTGGCTTTTTATTATGAGTGTTGAAAAGTAGTATACGTATATGTCGTTTTATGCCGTTGTATGTGAATTGTTTTGGGCAGTAGTTTGGTATTATTACCGAAGTGGATGGCTTATGTTATCTGATGAGTGTGTTGATTTACGGTTTGTACATTTAGTCTTCGAAACTCAAAAATGAACTAGATCTTTTTGAGCTGCAAGTTGTTTTACATTCTGCCTTCTTTGCAGCCGGCTTCAACCAAGGGTAAGCCCACCAAGTTGCATAAAAGAAAGCATCAAATCGACTCTTTGTATTTCGATATGAGACAGAAAGAGATGGAGCTTGCCGAGAGACGTGCCAAAGGTTTTCTTACCAAAGCTCAAACGCAAGCCAAATATGGATGGTGATAACATCATCCATCCGTTTTGCGCAGGGATGTAATGTGCTAATTGTAAAATATTGTCCTTGAAATTTGGTCTAATTACAGAAGACACCAATACTGGTCTTTATGATTACAATTACCTACTCGATTATTGTTTTTATTTCATAAAATGTCGAACACATAAACGAGGAGATGTCTGTTATGCAGTACCTTAACTTTTGAACTCTTGAAGTTCTTTCTGCAACTAAGCATAGTTTTAGGGGCAGTTTTGCAATGGTTGTGCAAAATGTGGGGAAACCATAATTTTTAATTGGGGTGACTTTAATTTTTGTGTTGATTCAATCTGTAAAACTTGTTTTGTATTGATATGATATCGTGGAGTGTTCCTTTTGCAAGCATTTGATAATGGAGATGGACAAATTATTTGTAACAAAATCACTATTATATACCTCTGAAAAACCTTCAAATCTTAAATCACCATAAAAAAATAAATTAAATTTTTCTAGCAGCACATTGATGTGTAGTAGTATGTGTATATTACTAAGGCCTTACACTATCGTTGGGATTAGGGCTGCAAACGAGTCGAGCGGCTTGTTAAAGCTCGACTCGAGCTCGAGTTTGACCGAACTCGAGTCGAGCGGCTCGATATATATTGACAAAAGTAAATAAAAATAAATAAATAAATAATGTCATTTCTCAATTTTCAATTCAGAGTCGACAAATCCTTGGTACAGTAAATGAAAGAACTCGTTCATAAACTCTCAACAAGTTTTGGTCTTTTTCTGTTCATGTACGTTGAATGCTTCACATGTCTTCTTCCAGCTATGGACAACAATGGTGGTGGGGATTATAACCCACCATATATTGGCCATGACATAATAAGCGTAATAATAAAACTCGTTCGTTGCAAAGTTATCCCCTTCAAGTATAGCTGTAATGAAGTAAACAGCAGTCCCGTAAAGCTGGCCTAGAGAGATTGCTATTTGAAGTGTGTAGCTGTAAGACTTTCTCATTGCTATAGCATACCTGTTAGATACCGAAGATTAGTCTCTACAGGTTAGATCAGATCAAGAAACTCGAAAAAATGAATTAATTCAAAAAATGACCGAGTTTCTTGGGAGTTCACAAAAGTATGCTAAAAATGGAAACTTTATAAAAACCATCCAGAGGTTTTTTATAACTGAACTCCCTAGCTTTTTTTGAAATTAGGAGAAATGGCCAAGAACAAACATTTCGTGTGGGCTATTTGTCGTATTTGGAAGAACTAAAAGGGTGCAACTGAAAAAAAAAAGTGAGAAAATTTCGGAAATTTACACTGCTGGGAGACCAAAGCTCTTGGGAGTTCACAAAAGTATGCTAAAAATCGAAACTTTATAAAAAACCATCCAGAGTTTGTTTATAACTGAACTCCCCAGCTTTTTTTTTTTTTCTAAATTAGTAGATATGGCCAAGACAAACATTTCGTGTGGGCTATTTGTCGTATTTGGAAGAAGTAAAAGGGTGCAACTGAAAGACAAGCGGAATTTTTACACTGCTAGAAGACAAGCGGGGCCCTCGATGGCAGCAGTAATTCCTTCAACAGCGACCACACCAGAATCACGTCCAGCATAGCGTGAGTCACCTTTGCTATATTCTTTCCCTATAATTTTTTTTTCATAATCAGTAAGTAGCATATATATAGTCATGAGATGTGAGGACACAAACTGTGGATAAAACGAACGATGAATGATTGAACTTACAAACTTCAGCAAGGTAATGTGGGGTCTTCTCTTTGTAAAATTCGGGAGAGAAAGCAAAGTAGCCTTCGAGGATAATGTGGGTTAGGCCCGTGAATATCCACCAGCACATAAGTAGTCTGTCGACCTTTGATATCTTACGAAAACGCCCTAGTAAGAAACAAAATATATGAAATTTTTTCAATTAAAAATTTCCCTCTGAACATCAACTAAAGTAGTCTGAAGTGTACCAGACAAAATCCACATGAAGGAGATAACTAGCAAAGATGAGATGCCATAAACGGCAAGAATAGTTAATTGAGAGAGGAATCCAGGCACAAATCCAGGCAATTTCAGGTCTTTTGGAACATAAGGATGATCAGCTTCCACTGGAATTCCCATCTCCTCGAATCTGAAAGGTAGAAAAAAAAGAGAAAAAAATCAGCAAAGAAAAAGAACAGTACAAGAGTTACATATTGAAGGATGCTGCGTTCGTGAGCTTCATCGGATGATTTGTTTTTATGCTCTAAAGAATTCGTCTATAATAATGCATTGATTTTGATAGATTCTCATTCGGCACACTTGGCATATTCAAACCGAAATTAGCTCATTACCAGGCAACAATGTATAATTCATTAATTCTAAAAGTACTGTCTTGAAACTCATGGAATTAATAGAAACAACCCTTAAGCCACAAATTAAATGAGAACACACTGTAATGGATTTTGGAACCAGTAGCACAAAATATAGGGAGATTCTACGGTCCCGTTATGGAACCATTCCGTAACCGTTAGATCAACTATCCACGACGATTACATGATGATCTAACGGTTACAAATCTCGACGAAATGGTTCTGTAACGGGGCTGTAGCATTTCCCCAATATATAACCTTTCCTTAAGCAAGCAAATATTATGTTCGAATCAAATAGCACTGTCACAAAATCTTCTTGAAATTAGAGACATTTGGGATATTTGATGTACAGATCAAATGAAAGCATATTCTTCGAGCTAATTGGTCCCTTTCTTAATCAACACAGTAAATATGAATATTTTTTTCTCACTGAGTTCATCGTTTGTGATTGAAAAAAACGAACTCTTCATAATCTTTTAAATTCAGACAAAAAGGAGCCACCTTGGAACAGACATTCGCATTACAAGGTTTCGATTACAATCATATGTACTACACACAAGCAGAACAGATAAATCTGAACTTTTGCACCAGGATTTGCTTTTTCAACCCAGTTCGAATCTGAAAAAAAAAAAAAAAAAAAAAAAAAAAAAACTGAAATTTCCGAACATCCCATTACACAAGATTAAAGATTTACACTTTCCGTCGTAAAGGGACGTCGGCGAAAAAGCCCCGACGGTGAGAAAATACTTACAAAGTGCTCGATGGCCGACAGCTGCAGAAATTTTGAGAGGGTTAGGCGATAAAAAGGGATGATAAACGCGAGCGAGAGTGTGTTTTGTTTGGTATTATAAAACAAAGCTAATGGCTGTTGCCGTGGCTACTGGATTTGGACTGCGTGGACTTGAAGAACCATTGATGAGAGAAAGCAGATCCGGTTTTGTGTTTTTTTTTTTTTTTTTT